AGACTCTATCTCAAAAAAATTTTTAAGGAATAAAAAGAAAGAAAGAGGGCTGAGGATTTAGCTCAGTGGCACTGCGCCTGCCTCACAGTGCAAGGTTCTGAGTTTGATCCCAGGGAGGAGACCAAAGTCATCTGATTGCTACATCAAAACTGATATTTTGCTTCAAAATCACTTACAACAATTTCCCCATAAACATCTAGGCCATCATAAATAACATAAAAAAAACCAAATCAAAAATTAATCAAAAGTTTGCCTGGGTAGAAACTGTGTGTGTGTGTGTGTGTGTGTGTGTGTGTGTGTGTGTGTGTGTGTGTGTGTTGTGTGTTTCTGTTTCTAGGAATTGAACCCAGGGCTGTGTGCATGCTATGGAAGCATTCTATCACTGGGCTACACCACAGCCCTTCAGCCCCTTTATCTTATTTTGAGACAAGGTCTTGCTAAATTGTCCAGAGTGTCCTCCAACTTGTGATCTCCCTGCCTCAGCTTCCTGAGTAGCTAGGTGTGTGCTACCATATGGGGCCAGGTGTGGGTAGAAGTACTTTATCCAAAGTGATCTTTCCGTAACCATAGTGAAACATAATTGATAAGCAAAACTGCTCATGCTGCTGTCTTGAAAAGCTGTCTTAGTTTTTATATTTACTCCTGCATTGAACATATCATGCAATTAAAGCTGTGTAATTTTAATGTAGTAATTTCATAGCAATAAGTTTAGCTTGTCTGATTAGCTACAGTAGTTCTCTAAGTGAATATCCTCAGAAAAGGATATTAGATATACTAATGGTAAATAACTCCCATTATGAAGCAGTAATATTGAAATAATGCATAAAGTATTAAAAGCCATACTCTATACCCTTATTGACACACATACTAGAATTCAGCACAATTGATGGTTTAACTTATAGAAAGTCTATTATTTTTCAAGTGAGTTTTGTACCTGCACAGCAACATTAGCCTATTAACAGAACTTAGTTCTACTGAATTAAACATCACAAAAATAAAATAAGTTTTTAAGTCTTCTAGAATCTATGGTTAGAACTGGTGGTGTGGCTCAGGGGTAGAGCACTTGCCTAGCATGTGTGAGGCCCTCAATTTCATCCCCAGTATGGCAAAAAAACCCACAAAAAAGTCACCCCTGGTTTACTTTTTTTTTTGGTACTGGGGATTGAACTTGGGACCTTGTGCTTGAGAAGCAGGCGATGGAACCACTGAGGTAAATCCCCGGCCCCGACTCCTGGTTTACTTTTTTCAGTCAATTTGTGCTGCTAGAATAAAATTTCTGAAACTGGGTAATTGATAGAGGATAAAAATTTAAAGTAGATCCCTGAGGTCCCAGCTACGCAGGAGGCTGAAGCAGGAGGATTGGGTGAGGCCAGGAGTTCAAGACCAGCCTCAGTCTCAAAAAACAAAACAAAACAAAACAAAACAAATTTATGATTGAAATGTTGAATGAGGAAACAAAAAACTTAGCACAAATCAGCAGCTAACAAAATAATTTCAGTTCTAAATCCTTGTAAGAACGAGCTCTGTGATCCTGAGTACATTACATTAATCCTGGGTTCCACTGGACTCCAGAGTCAAACAGTTATTCATTCTTCTTTTTTTTTTTTTGGTACCGGGCATCGAACTCCGGTCCTTGCGCTTGCACAGCTGGCGGCAAAGCCACTGAGCTAAATCCTCTGTTTATTCAAACAGACTGATGCCAATGCATGCCAGCCATTTTAGAAATCACTTTAGAAAAAAATTAAGTTAGATCTCAGGGTCTTTCACTGAGCTATATCCCTGGTTTTCTTTGTTTGTTTGTTTTTTAAAGACAGGATCTTGCTAAATTGCTACATTGCTCCACATCACACACAAATGTAAGTGCCAGTTCAATTAAAGGTCTAAATGTAAAAAAATAAAGCACAGAAACTAAGGATGTTTTATCACCATAGGGTAGGGAAGACTTCACCAGGCAACATAAAGCTATCTCAATATCAAATGATAAGACTAGAAGAAATACTTAAAACATTTCAACAAAGGTTTTTATCTAAAATACATAAAAGGGCTTCTAAAAGCTATAAAAATAAATAATCCATTAGGAAAATGGTAATATATATATAAATAGATGATACACAAAAGCAAAACAGCCAGTAAACTAACAAAAGACTATTCGGGAGACTGAGGAGATAAAGAGAAAGATAAGTTTGAGAACAGTCTGGGCAACTCAGTGAGACCCTTTCTCAAAATAAAACCGTTAAAAGGGCTGGGGATGTAGCTCAATGGGAGATCACTTGCTTAGCATCATCCACAACGCCCTGAGTTTGACTCCCAGCACTACAAACAAACAAACACTGAAATAAAATATATAGAAAATGTTCAGGAAAGTTGGGAGGGGAAAGAGGGTAAAAAGAGTCTCTTTTATTTCTATATCCATATTTACTGTGTGTCCTTTAACAAGCATGGGTTATTTTTTTTTTTTTTTTTTTGGTATTGGGGATTGAACCCAGGACCTTTGCACTGAGCTATGTCTCTGGCTTCTAAAAATTTTTCTTTTATTTTAGGACAGCCTCTTGCTAAGTTGCTACCTTGCCCAGACTGGGCTCAGACTGCAAACCTTCTGCCTCAGCCTCACCAAGTGACAGGCATGTGGCACCATGACCAGCTGAATAGGATTTTCATAAGACATTCAGCAATGTGTCACCTCTAGTATCTGTTGTGTAATATTCAGTTCCTAGATCTCCTACCCACAATTCAAACATGTTTATTAAATACAGTAATAATCACCAGCCAATTGCAGTTCTGAAATTGAAAAAAATAAATTTTGGAGGGGTATGTGGCTCAGAGGCAGAGTGCTTGCCTAGGATGTTTAAGGCCCTGGGTTCAATCTGCAGTCCCTACTGCATAAATAATAAATAATAAATTAATAAATATTCTAAAGATCTTTTTGGGTTTCCTCAAGCAAAACCAGCACCTTTGCTCGCCACTCTCAAGGAGGGTGGGTGGGTCTACTGAGGAGCACCTACTGAGAAGATTCACTTCTGCTTTAGCACTTCAATACGGGACAGCAGACCAGTCTCAGAAAAGGCCAGAAACAAAACAATTCATCTGTGAAATTCACCCCAGGCAGCAGGAACCCTGTGAAGAGTAAAGATACTACAGGGGGCATTTGAGTCCGCCAGGGCTGTTCGAAACTCTGAAAGCAGCGCAGAGTGTTCAGTTCAACTCAGAACTTGACGCTGATGTTTCCTGAACACTGAAAGAGGCCACCGATTCAGGATAGGGGTTACTAGAGCAGGTTAATAAAGACTGGTTTGTTTGGGAAATAGGCACCCACTAGAGAACAGAGCTTTCATCTCTGTCTTTAAAAGAGGCTTACTGACATTTTCATTGTTTCTCCCAACTCCCTCTTACTCACGAGACTTTGATCCTAACAACTACTCTTTTGCTAACCACAGTACTTTTCAGGAACACTGCAGGTGAAGATGGTGAAGGATCTTAGAGAATGATACTGTAAAACACATTTGGGCTGGGGGTATAGCTTGAGAGGAGAGTGCTTGCCTAGCGTGTATGAGGCCCTGGGTTCTATCCACAGCACCGCAAACAAACCAACCAAAAAATCTGGGTTTAAATCCTAAATTCCATTTCAAGCTGCATTATCATGGTCAAATTACCTACCCTAATCTTTGAGTAAACTAAGACAATATGCTGTAATGAGTGGAAATGACAGATTAAAAGATGTCTAACCAGAGTATCATGTGCACAGAAAGTCCTTGCCTAATGGAGCTATGATCATGACCCTTGACCTTTGACTGGTGTGTGGGGTCAGGGAGAGGGTGGGGGTCAGGGAAAAAAGCACCTGAAATATTTCTCCTGTCATTTCATTGGGACTAGATAGATGTGTGGTATTCTAATCTGGTAAAGATGAATTGATTCCATCAATCCATGCAGAATATAAGTACATTTGACAGAATACAGCAAAGTTAGAATTTATATTGTGAGCTATTTTTAAAACTGCTAGGTTAACAAATTAAACCGGCTGTGAAAATATCCTCGTTTCCATTCACAACAAATACAAGACAAGCCACTTTCCTTTACTGACTCTGGCCTCATGGCAGCAGTCTATTCTGCATAATTCATTCCTAAGGGTTTCAGAGACATAATTTTCTTAAGACATACTAAAATTAAACTATTTTCTAGGGAAAAAAAAGATGAGAGAGGAGTTTTCTACAGATTTTCAGTAAATTCCATGAATCACTGTCCCATTCAATTTAGGAGACTACAGTCTAAATAAAAAATAGTAGTTATGTCAGTACTTTAAGCCAGTCTTAAGTGTTTTTCCTTTAAAAGAGCTATGAAAAACCAGTCTGACCTCCAACGCAGTTTTTCAAACTTTGTGACACAAGGAGGAAAAAAAACCTCATTGCCACTAGAAAGCTACCCAGCAGACTCAAAATTTCAGATTTAAAACCAGTCACCCTTTAAGAAGTCAGAGGAGAGATCCTGAATTATCTAGAATGTTGGCTAAGTAATATTTATAATTCCCACTCCTTTAGGAAAACAATTTGTTATTTAAACAATGATCAGAAGTGTAAATAACCAAATGGAATTGAATTTCAGGAAGTACTATTCAAATAAATTCAAAGGTGGAATGTGAGAAACTGTTAATTTAGTTCACTTCATAAAACACTACTAAGAAAAGGATTCACCATTTTATATTTTCTTTGGAAAACAACCAAACGGAATTAGTTCAATTTGGAACATCCTGAGCCTTAAAGCCTTTGCTAAAAGCAAAAACGTAAATTTTGATTAGTCAAGTGTGAAAAACTACAAAGCCAACTTTCTTGTCCCTCCAGTTAGTCAGTCTATAAATAGAAGCAATGCATTAACAGCCATCAAAGCAACTGGTGAATTCCACAACATCTCCAATGTACACATCCCCAGCAAACATGCTCCCAGCATGGTGAACCTAAGTGCTTCCAAAGACCTGTAATAGGACCCTTCTTAAATGAACCACGACTCACTGTTTGCTTTCTTCACCAGGAGGTGGAGTCTTGCCATGCCCTTCCATTACAAAATCCTCCAGTTCCACCTGCAAAGGCAAGCACCACAGGTCAGCAGCAGTCAGTAACTGAGGCGCGAATCACTCCAAAGGGCCAGGCACTGCCCTGTGCACAACCACTGGACCATGGCAGTACAATGCCTAGAACAGAGGCCTCAGCCTTGGGTTTGCAGTCTCCAGATTTGCTTAAGACATTTCTTCTGTGTGACTAGATTTGGAGAATGACAGGAAGCATGTTGCTTTGCAAGTCATGTAATTATGACAAAGGATTACATGAATATAGGGCCGGGGATTTAGCTCAGTGGCGCAGTGCCTGCCTGGCAAGAGCGAGGCCCTGGGTTCGATTCCCGGTACCAAAAAAGAAAAGTGAAAAAAAAAAAAGGATTACATAAATATAAAAGGACTATGAATCAATGAGAAAAAGAACCTACAGTAGGAATTTCACTGTGAAATACATAGATGGTTCCTAAACATGAAAAGATGCTTAACCTCATGTCAGTCAGAAAAATGTAAATTATGCCTTGCAAGCCCAAGGTCCTGAGTTTGATCCCTAGTACCAAAAAAAAAAAGTAAATTAGAACCACAAAGAGATATACCATTTCACAACCATCATATTGGCTGAAATTGTAAGGTCCAGCAACCCCAAGTGTTAGCAGAGAAATGAATTCATTCACTCATAGTGGGAAGGTAAACATTTTAACATGTATATACAAACTACTAATTGCATTTGAGATATACATATATATATTTTCTTTTTTGCTTAAATTCTTTTATTGGTACATTTTAGGTAATACAATACATTTACATTTATCATTGGGGGCTGGGGATTTAGCTCAGTGGTTCCGGGCACCTGCCTTGCAAGCACAAGGTCCCGAGTTCGATCCCTGGTAAAACAAACAAACAAATACTTTTGGGCCGGGGATTTAGCTCACTGGTTCTGGTGGCTGCCTCGAAAGCTCAAGGTCTCAAGTTCAATCCCCGGTACCAAAAAACAAAAACAAAACAAAAAAAAACAAATACATTTATCATTGGGTGCTTGTACCTGTACATGATGTATCTTGGTTCTTATTTTTTCCCCATTCCCTGTCCTCCCTTCACCCTCTCCACCCTTCCCTATTTACAATGACTTTGTTTCCATTTTTCCCTTTTCTCATAATT